CTGTTCTGGAACGATATGAAAAGGAACAGTGTTTAGTTTATTATATATGGTGCAATCATGCATTATTATAAGTAATAGCATGGCTTGAGGGAGATTAGTGATTAAATGGCCCCGTAACCCGAGGCAGGTTTGCGGAATGCCCGAGGGCGAAGCCCGAGGGAATTCCGCAAACCTGCCGAGGGTAAGGGGTCATTTAATCACTAATCTCCCGAAAAGCCATGCTATTAGTTTGTAATAGCATAGTTTCGCTCCCATTTAAAAATGGACAAACATGCCCTACTTGGAATCAGCGTATTTAAGCTAAAACATTTGCTTCATTGCTTGTGGGATGTAAAAGCTTGTTGCACATGCGCACTTTTACGCTTTAATCGGTTACGCATGCGCAATCTATCATTTAACGTACCACAACAAACACGCTAAATATATTAGTATAAATTTGGAGACTGCACGTGCGTAATTTAAATGATGCGGCAACTCAGGGATCGGATGATAGACTATTGACGGCTCTGAGCTAACTGTTGCTGTTCCTTGCACGATTATGTGCGTGAGGCACTTGCCTAATGCGTAGTCATCAGGGAGACAAAGGTGTGACCCTTGGTAACGGGCGATTAGTTCTAATCGCCCGCTCTAGCGGGCGATTACAACTAATCGCCCGCTACAGCGGGCGATTAGTTAGTAATCGACCCTGTTGAAACAAAAGAAACCCGGGCAACTATGCTATTACTATATTCATACAATTATTCACATGATAAATCGTATAATGATTTGCTGTTATTCGTTTATCTTAGTACGCTTTTGCAACGTTTTTACTCGTTGATTTTGCCCAACCCTGGCGTTCAAATATAAACATAATAGAGACCTTAAGATTGACGTTTACCGCAAACGTCAAACCGCTAGCGAAGTTTTTGATTTTACAACTCTATTATTATACTTTTACACCAGTTTTGAAATATGTTAGACTTATTAAACTTGTGCTCTTTAGCAATGATTTAAGAAAGCAAATTAACCACAAATCATCCCATTCACCAAAGCAGTAAATTAAGATTTGGCGTTTGAAGTTGACGTTGGCATATAAATTTCATGCTTTAACGACTAGAAGCCCTCGTAGCAGTTCAAGCATGAAATTTATACGCCAAACGCCAACTTCAAACGCCAAATCTTAATTTACTGCTTTGGTGAATGGCATGACTAGCGGTTAATTTGCTTTCTTAAATCATTGCTAAAGAGCACAAGTTTAATAAGTTTAACATATTTCAAAACTGGTGTAAAAGCTATAATAATAGAGTTGTAAAATCAAAAACTTCGCTAGCAACCACGAGATCAGAAAGACAGATCAACAGACTTTAACATAATTTATGCATTTAATTCGACACGACGATACGCCAGTAACGACGTCGTATGAAACGACGGCTTTCGGGTACACATAATCACTAGACCTGATCGGCTGAATGCCATGCTATTACTTATAATTATAGCCACTGATCCATATTGTATATTTTCGGAGGGTGACACTTGTAAGCACCGATGGCTTTTTCAATTTACAACGATCATATTTATACCATTCCAGGTAGATTAAAAGAATCAATGGTTTTGAGTATGGCTACACAGCGATCACCTAAATTATGGATTTTAATATTCATTTGCGTGCGTAATTTCACGGATGGATGCGAAACCTACTTCATAGCACCGACGGCTTGGTATTATATCAAATCCCTTGGGCAGAGTGAAAAATTTCTAGCCCTAGTTTTAACTTCATTCAATCTAACTGCCGTCATCATATCACCAATAGTCGGATACATGGCGGATCGTTTTGGACATATAAAATTATTAATCGTTTTCACTTACGTCGTGAAAGTTTTGGGTAACCTGCTGTATAGTATCAATGTAAGCGCAATTTTCCCTTTAATGGGCAGAACCGTTAGCGGTATAGGGGAAAGTTCGTACGGGATTCTTATGGGGCAAGTTGCCCTTCATACGAGCGAAGAAAATCGTGCGGGAATGTTTGTGTTTTTGGAAGCTACGTATTGCCTGGGCACTGCATTTGGCCCGGCGCTCGGCAGTTTCATCACATTTAATGCTAATATCTTGGGTTGGGAAATTGATGCAGGGAATTCACCTGGGATCGTCTTGATGTGCGTATGGCTCGTATCCTTAGTAGGAGCGCTTTTCTTACCCGGCGATTTTGGAGAGAAAAGTGCCATCGAAAAAGTGGAAGTCGAAATGGTGACGTCAGCTACGAGTGATACCGACGATGACCGAACATTGACCGAC